TGTTTATAAAGAAACGCAAACCTTTACACACGCTATACACGTATCATATATTAGGCAAAAAATTCACAATAAATAAAGTAACTGTAATTCAGTGATTTGCAAGTTAAATGTAATTTTACGGATTTTTATAAATTTTTTAGTGAAATGCAATGTTAGAGCAAACATTGGCTGATTTTAAAAACAACTGGCCGGCGTAATTTTTTTAAACAACGTGTTATAATTTTTGTTTTAATTTGTTTAAACAATTACGTTTGATAATAACGGCAAAATGGAGTAATTATTTAGTAGTTAATTTATTTATTGTTGTTAAATTTTTCTGACATTTTCTGTGTTATTTGGTTTTGTGACTAGCTAGCTTCAGTTTGAAGCTAGCTGACCCTCTATTTTTAAGAAAATGGCTGGCGTAATTAATTTAAAATTATGATAATTAATGAGTAATTAATTAGTATTAAACGATGGCATGTAGTTTCTTGTGGTCCGCTATAGGTGGCTAGCCAGCTTCAGAGAGGTGTTTTCCGTAGACGAAGGGACCTACTAGATGCCTCGACAGTTCCACCAACCAGTGAAAGGGAGATGGGTGAGTTGCGACAGCCGGGCAGGGGGACTGCCCCGACAATAGCTCAACGGAATCTGAGATGGGGACTAGACAGAGACGGAGGGAATTCGTGGTGCGGAAGTTTGAAGCGCCGGGATGGACGGGTCGCTAAGAGGGCCGAAAGGTGAAACCGAAATTCAAAAAAAAAGCATAGTACATTCATATACACACATACAATATTTTAGAGATAAACTTGAGAAAAGATTTTTTACTCGGAGAAAAAGATGCGATACCAAAATAGAAAATAGGTAAGCAATCATTGTTTATAGAAATTACAATAAAAATCACATTTTTAACATGCAATTGAAAGGATTTCGCGAGGAAATTTACATCAGTGATTACATCATCCAACATACATTTTTTGTTTGGTTAAATTAATAAATAATGATCACACTAATGTAAGCGTTAATGGGAAGCAACAAGTAATACATGAAATTAGTAATTATGTTAGCAAACAATGCTTAATTAACTACACCATTCTTTCACTGACATTATAAACTATAGTTATCAGTATTATTGTAATTCAATTGTTTTCTGCTGGTCTGTAAATAAACTCTGCGCTTACAATTTTACTAATCGGACTAATTGGACAAGTTTTCGAAAGCAATATTGTCTTTGGGAAAAGAATCCACACAAACATCTAATCACACCTACGTATCGAGGTCGTGTGTAATCGAAGCTATATGTAAAGGTCACTTACATAAGTTATTCAATCCATTTGACACCTGTGTAAATTAACAAAACCTTGAAGACGATTATATGAAATAATAAAAGATATATTGATACTTGCATTACGGAGAACATTCAGGGCAAATTATGGCTAGTTACATAATTCTATTTAAAAAATGAAATGAACAAATAATTTCGAAGATATTTTCTTACAAATGAGGATTACTTAATGAACTGGTTATCGATACGCGTGCCAGAAAACGCCCTCAGGCGTGTTGCGAACTTTCCAGATTTTATATGCATTTTTTCCAATCGAGAAACTCATTTGCACATGCAAAGCAGCCGGCCCCGGAAACAAAAAGGCTTTCCAATCCACATCTAAATTAGCAGGGTTGGATGTAGTATGCATTCTCTTGTTCATGAGAAAAGACCTGAATTGCTGGAAAATTATTGATTAAGACGAATGGGTGGACAAATAATTGCTGAGACTAACGTAATATCGTCAAAATGCACAACTATGTGCCAATGTATACAACTACAGGCAAGTTTAAGATGCAATGAGGTTTTCTATCGGCCCCTAGGAGAAACATATTGGGTTCAATGATCCTTCTCTAGATCTACCAGTCTTTGTGGAATCTTTATTATATTTACCATTTGCTGTTGAAACAGTTTGAAACTAAAGTACTCAGTTTACTTGATTTTAAAATGTGAAAATAATCTCATTTGCTGTGACGACTTCGATTTATTTTAATAATCTTCATTTGATACTTTGTTTCGCTTATCTCTAGTCTAATAATAAAATGTGCCTATCAGCGTTTTCGTATAGTGCTTGGTTGTTATCAGTATTACAAACAATCGTAACTCAGGGGTATAACAAAAGGCCACCTAGTTCATCTGATTTTACTGATTAATTTGTTTTCTTTGTTAAAGCGATGGCTAAGAATAACAGAGTTGTAAATTATTTTTTCATAACCATGCATCTGAATAAGAAGGGATTGCCTCGATGCATATACGGAATAATAAAAATAATTTAACAGACTATCAAGGAGCATCTAAACTTATTGTGAGCAAATGTTGCCTACACCTGAAAATAATGATTAATTACACCAAGGTGTTTATAGGCAGGCTGCCAAATTAATTCAAATATGGTACCTAATAACGAATATAAACAATTATAACCATTCTTCGGGATGAATTAACAGCAAAGGGTGTACATTGCAAACGCCGCGCGGTCGGGATTTTTCTTCAAAAGCCGCTAACTGCATTGCAGAGAGAAAAAATAATTTGTCCTAAGAGTCTCCTCTCGAACTACTCCAAAGAAGACCGTGAGAACGCACCACCTCCTAGACGTCGCAAGTGAGTGCGCGCAAGCGAAGTGTCCCATTGTCGAAATTCGAAGAACTGTGTGCTTTCCACTAAGACACGGCGGACTCGCATTGTTCGAAAAGCGACAGTCGAGCAGTTTGGGTGGCGGTTCACCGAGCGCGCGAAAAACGAGCAATATGCACGTGTCGACTTCACTGAAAGTTGATTCATTTATGTGAGATCGGTGTCGCGATTTCAAAGTTCCATAGTGCTGTATTCTCCGTAACCAGCGTTTTTGGCGCGTCAGAAACAGCGTGGCGCATATGAGCGAGCTTCTTAAACGCATGAATAACGAGATAAAACCAGAAAGGAAACCAATTTCTTTTCGCTGAGACACAGGTAACACTGATATTTTCTTTAATATTTAATGTTAAAAGCAAACTCTAACACCAAGGTGTGCTAACACTTTTAATACTTGTTTTCAGAATCTTACCTTTTAATAAATACCCAGAAAGACCTGTTTGCGGATCTTCGGCCGAATCTTCAAACCTCTCAAAGGTATCAACGTAAATCATTATGTGTTGGGACGCGTCTAGCGATTTAGTTCCCGTCTATGTGACCTACAAAACTAAAAAAATGTTTACCTCGAATAGGCGAAAGGGGGACCTTAAAATTACACACTACCATTGTGTGACCAACACAGCACTAAATGTATAGCTCGTCCCCCTAATTCCACCAATTTTCTCTAGCTATTCTATGTCATTTTTTATCTGCTCAAGAAAGTATGGCGTATTGTTGAAAGAGTGGAAAAATACGCCTATGCGGTTTAACTCTCTTCCAAGGTAGGTATTTTCGAAATTGCTTACGAAACTTTGACCTGGTGCTACAACTAGCCCTTAATGGTAGTCGTCTTCATCTGCTAATGATTTGTAAATTTTATTTTCAGTTGTACGCCCTTATAAAATCTTATGTCTTGGCCTTTGCTTGTTTAACAGCAGCTTGAAGAATTAATTTTGGGAGTTGGTTGTGTCTTTAGATAGACGTCTGATGACGCCCGCCATATTATGTTCAATGAATTCGCAATAAGGAACACAGTTTCTGCATTTGTATATCATAATCGCCTTCATTATTTTTCGTAGTTTGTGGTCCGCAGAACCCTATCTTGGATAGCCATTCCTAACCTTTCGGTTTCTGGGAATAAATATCCACTTATTGCACCAATTGCACCAGTCTCTGCATTGACTAATATGTTGTTCTTCCAGATAATTGGGGAACTGTCTGTGAAAGATTTTGGCCTTCCAAGAATGTAGTCGATCTTTATTTATTATTAGTATACCGGGCAATGGTTCGCTATTGCACACATCATACACTACTGGTCACGTGATTGTTAATCACGTTTTACTCCATGCCGCCAAATTTTCTAAGAGATGAAATATGTTGTCGCAAGTTTGGGTTTGTTCTATACCCGGGTTTGGACATGATGGTTAAGTATCCAATTGTTAAAACTTTCTCCCTCAAATTTGGACATGCGTTCGCAATCGCATTTCGCAATCGTAAGGGCAGTATACTTTTATGCAATGAGAAGCTCTTTATCCTTGTCTGTGTGGCGGGTTGCGTAGAGCTCAGGGGCGTTTGAGTCGTCATATTCGACGTTTTTTTCAGAAACGTCTAACGAAAGCTGAGAATAGTCAGTAAACTAAAAAAATAAATATTATTCTTGTTCGCTGAGACCGACTTGGACCACGCGTGCCTGCACCCTGCATTTACTGGGGCCCAGTTCCATTATCTCAGCGGCAGGTGTGTGTAATTTACCATGGGATCAGCATTTAGCTAGATCCCATTTTTATGCCCCAGAGTTCTTAGTCCTGGGGGGATGGAAGATGAAATTATGAAGATAGTGAGGAGTGAAAGAATGACACACGCATACAGGCTTACACAACGCAACCACGCTCGAGGCAGGAATCGAACCCACCATCTTCTGTTCCGAGACCACTACTGCATTAGCGATCTCGCCAATCTGATAGGCAATTTTTATCATCATCATCATCATCATCATCATCATCATCATTATTATTATTATTATTATTATTATTATTATTATTATTATTATTATTAGGGTGCGTGAACGGCTATGGTCGTTATTCCCTTAAATGTAGTACATGGTTTTGTTCGGGAGGTAGCAGTGGTCTTGTCCCGCTTTATGATCAGCCCTACCGTTGGCTAGCGGGGTTTTCCCCAACAAGATATCTCCCACCAGCCTGGTATAGCCCCAGCCGGGAAAAGCTCTAAGTTCCCGACCGGTCTCCCAGCATGTGTGGTAGTGTAGTGCATGTTAGTGTAGGTGTGTGTAAGGGGTGAAGATCGGACAAGAAAGAGGTAGGAAAAATCGTGCGCGGTCCGTGGACCGTTTGTTAGGGTACTGCTCGCCTGATGTTGATTCATCTGGTGTTGATCGGAGCAACCATGGAAAACTACCACCCACAGCAGCCGGACGATAGAATTCCCCTTCAGACAGCAACCGAATTCGAACTAGCTGACAAGCTAGGGTTGAAACTCCTGCACATCGTCGGGCCCCAAACCTCACGGTTAGAGGGACTGCAATGATATCAGTTGACGCCCTGAGCCACTTCTCCCGGTACTATAATATTTATTATTATGATGATGATTGTTTTTGTTGTTGTTGTTGTTGTTGTTTGGCCCCGCGCGGCCGATGGCGTCGTGCGCGCTTTGGCTGACGTGCGTGCGGGGGCGTGGCCGGGCGCGTGTTGCAGGAGGAGGCGGAGGCGGAGAACGGCGCGCGGCTACAACGCGTGCAGGAAGTGTGCCGCCGCCACAACATGGGCCTCTACCGCCAGTCGTCGGCGCCGTCAGACGTGCGCGAGCCGCCCACGCCCCAGTACAGCGTCTTCTACTTCGACAAGTAAGTGGAGTTGCCTGCCGGAGGCATTCGGAGGGACAGTGGGACGATATTGGACTTATTCTTTCTTTTCCTCATCATTATCTTCGTCTTCTTTTACACCATTATCATGGATTTATCTTCATCACCCTTTTATTCTCTCTCTCCCTTTTCTTCTCCCCATCCCCCTTTTTATTCCTCTTCTCTATAATGTTCTTTTCCTCCTCTTTTCGTTTTTTTTGGCACACTTTCTTCTTTTTCTCCTCCTCCTTTTCCTCAACCTCTTCTTCCTCCTCCTTCTCCTCGATATTCTTCTTCTTCTTCTTCTTTAGTCATATCCTTAACAACACTGAGGACCAAGCAAAGAGAACTGATACTTTGGATATCCTGTACAATTCTTAATTCATGAATTTAGCATCATTTCATGAATTTAGCATAAGTTTATTTATTAGTGCATTTAGATGGTCATGTTGATTAAGTTCTCTACCAGATCACACACTCCGGTTGGAATCATACATGCCTTACTTGCAATTCGAACCCACAGCTCTAGTCTAGAGCGATTGCTGCAACTCCCATCTGGGATATTAAGATTTGGCTTTACTCTTTTCCTTAATGGGCTATATCCCGAACAGGACGTGGGTGACCAAGTACAGATAATTGGTTCTTGGTTCTTCTGAATAATTACATGATAAACAATTATTTAGTACACGCAATGGTTTGCTTAGGTCTATCAAGCTTTAATAGCAATGTGAAACCATTTATTTCTTTCCGCGGGATCCGAACCCACAAATCTAGCGATAAGCGATTGCAGCTACCGATATTATGAGTATTTAGATCTCCATCTATTCTTCTCTTAAATGGTCGTAACCCTTTCAGAGCGATAATTCTGGGCAGTGGCAGATTCGTGGTACAGTTTTGTAACTGTTTGCAGTTATGATCCATAAAACTGAGGAGCTAAATTACAAACTCAAACTAGCTAATATAAATTGAACACTAACATACATATTAAAATCGTATTAGGAATACTGTTTATTTTTTTACCAGAAAATGAGTGAAATTGAACAGAAGTGAGTGAAAAGTGAGTTGTATATGTAAATGAATTATTCCCATACTCATCCACTGATTTAATTAGTCACAATTATCTTTTCTATTTATTGTGGAATTTGGTTATATTTATTCTGGCATAATATAATCAATATTAGATGAAGTTAGCAGCTGCGACAGTAACTACACTATATCTACACGTACACTTTTCTCCCCTTAAATGGCGGAAAATCGTTGAAGCTCGTCTCCAAAAGCAACAACAGCATTAGAGGAATCAACAACACATCCAATTAAATATCCAAATTAATTATCAAAAAAATAAAATTAAATTTTTTATTCCACATTCTGTAGACATTTAAATTTGTGTCAGTTGCTAATTTATTTCAGTGAAGTTTATTTTCAAATAAGTCAGTTAAATGCACATTGATTTATTATGCATTATACATAACACGTTAAATACGGTAATATTTCTTTGGCATTCCTACTCTTCAACGATACACCATAAACGGTTTTGTTCATTTTCACCCATGATACATGAATATCTATTATTTCTCCTAAGCATTCAAGCAGTCGCTGTTATAGTTTTCACTGCACATTTTATTGTTACAACACAAGCAAATCGTCTACTAGAAAATAGCCGAAAAGAGAAACCAAATATTTTTTTAAGATCAAATGCACAGAAATACGTTACATACGTATTTCTTCCACAACCAAATAATCATCCAGTTTAAACTGTGGCGGTCTTTGCGACTAGAGATATTAATGCAACCCCGTAAACAAACTTACAAACCTTCGTCTGGATGGCTGAGATTGTTAAGGGAGTATTGTCATCTCGGACTGAAGGATCATGGGTTTGAGTCCCGCCTCGACCAAGGTTGTATTTGTGTTCGTCCTTTCTCCCCTCACCATCACCACATCACATCATACTTTTATCCCTATCGTTAATATATAGTGGTCACTGAAGACCTAGTTGTTAATTAAAAAAAATGCATAAGGTTCCATGATTACCGTTGCTTTTCTCCCGGAAGTCACGTTATTAATGTCGCAACTGAATTACAGCTTGAAGCTTTCGTGTAATTCAGGATTTGTTATTTTCTTTGAAATTCAGGACGTTGTGGTTTTGAAATATTAGAATCTAATATCTGGAAATGCGAATTAAACATCACTTTTGATGTAAGTTCCAAAATGAATAAAAAAAGACGTATTTTCTTCAAATTATCTAATATGGTAAGTGATGCAAATATGGCCATTTGATGAAGGATTTATTATTTTGACAGTATACATCAATGTTTAGCGCATTTATTGAGCAATCTAATCACATTAATGTAATTACATTTGCTCAATATTTTTACATGGGAGAGATTTTACGACGTATTGTTTTTGCTGGCCAAGGAAGAACTAACTATTAAAGATAAAGAAACTTTCTTTCGTCCTCAGTGTCAAACTGATAAAACTATTTATTTATTTTGCAAGTTTTCAAGCAATGACCGATGTTTTAAACTTTCTATAATAAAGTCTCATTGTAGAAAATTCGGAATTTTTTATGAGTAACATATTAATATTTGCGTTACTGAAATCATTTCAGGCCGTATTTTTGTAAAATTAGACCGTAAGAGGGTAATTTATATTATATATTAGTATAATTAGCACTAATTCCACGATACAAGAATCGAGTTAATTTGGCAATGGCCTTAAAACCTGCACGTGGACATATTACCTTCACAACAAAATGTTTTTTTTAAAACAACAACAAAATATTCCTGAAACTTTTTGTGTGATATAACTATTTCAACCTGAAGCAAAAGTGTTAAGTTTCATCATGATGATGTTAATTTGGCGAAATGTAAAATATATAATCAGGAAAATTTGAGGCGCTTAACGTTGCCATATTTCCTTCACAAACCTTAATGCAAACGATTAATATTCGAATTATTCATCGACAATAACTGTTTGAAACTACATGAATAGTATCATTTCTATTTGTGTTAATTTTGTGACTGGAGTATTCTGCTTAATTTTTGATACCTAAACATTACCGTCAGATTATTTCGCGAACATTCCTTGACGTCTCCATCCGTTTGGTATATTTGTAAGATGTTAAGTTAAAATTATAACCACAGCGTTTCAGAGCCTTCAGTGCAGAACGCCTTATGATACCGTGTGGGCACGGTTTGGCGACATACACACACGCGTGCAAAGAAACAAAGAAACAGCTACAACGAAGGTCAGAAATAGCGTTTCTTGAGTCAGACTCAAGAGACCCACCACGCTTAATGTGCTTTCTGCGTCCCTTGGGCGCGTACCACGAGTTTTTCGCGCGATGTCTCGGAGATAGAACGCAGGCAGAGACGTTTCAAGGGCCAGAGAGACCGTAAATCCCATGAAAACCAATGTTACGAGTTTGAGGATTTTTTTCAATGTGTATTATCTAATCATATTGTAAATTACTTTTATTTTATTTTCAGATGTAACTAATAAATCTTTCAATTCAATCTTGGCATTTCATGTAAATGTAAATATATATATATAATTTTTAAAAAACAACCGTATAATAATTTTCAATGAATATGAAATGATGTCTACCTAATTTGCGGTCAAGATAAAATTAGTAATGCAAACATGTATCATCACAACCACTGTCATTATCATATTAAACGAACCGCCAACTTTCCGGCTATGGACGTTGACAAGTGTTGGCCTCCATGAAAACAATGTGCCATAAATTAAAATCAACCAACCAAATGAACAATGCTTTGTAGACTTAATATATCCACAAACCATATATTTTAAAGTATCATTATTATTTACTATATTAAATCTGTTTTACATTGAGCATATTTTTCAAACATTTTCGGACCCTTCCAAATTACGGAGCAAGCCTGTTGGCAGAGCTGCTTAGACACAATATGTAGGAGAACGGTTTTAACTTGAGCATAGCCGTTTATTTCGCGACCAAAGGCTTAGCGTTACTCTACTTAACGGCTGTCTTGGAAACTAAATGAAATTGTTACACATCAATATAGAATAAGTTATTGAGATATTTCTTCAATAACTAAAAAAATGACTTTTCAGACACGCCACTTTTCTTGGCTGCCGGTGAGATTACTCCCGATGTACATTAATTCCGGGCTCCGGTACCCCGAATTATCCCGTAGAAATGCAGTGGGTAGACAAAAACTGGAAACATCGCTTAAAATGCATGTCTACATTGAATTTTTTAAATTCTTGATACATTTGAAGCTAACGCTGGTATTGGGCCACCTCCTGTCGATCTGTGCGACCTCCGCAACGCGTTGCAAGAGTCAGTCGTTTTCGAGTGCGGTGTTTGATGTAGACGCGGGTGCATCACGACCAAAATATGCAGAGGGTGCATTATGACCCGAGTGCGCAAGTGATGAGTGATCGAGATAATTAACATTGTGTATGATTGCGATGTAAAATAACACGACTGCAAAAGTCTGCTAAAATGAACGCGAAAATAAACTATGTCAGCACCAACAGTACGAATAGAGACCTTTTAAGCTGGACATTTATGGACGAACTTCAATTCCTTGGACAATAATCATTTGGGTATTCACAATTTTGTTCACCTCTTGAAAATAGAAAATGAATATTATGAATATTGTAGTGGTGAGTGTTTTTTATTGTTCGCATAGAGTAATGCTGCGGTAAAAAACGGTGATTTTTCGACTGAAGAACTCATATTGTGGAGCCGTGATATCGAAAAAGGGGATAAATCATATTCCAATCCCAGTTGTAGTAAATTGTTTCCTCATTGTGAAGTCAGAATTAACGTTTTATGGCTCATTGATACCGAAAAATTGGTTTACAGGAAAACGCCTCTTTGTCTGAGGTCCGACTGAGGTCTACGTTAGTGTGTAAACCGTTCAATTGTTTTCAAAATAGACATGATCCGATCGACCTGACAAAACTCGTGGTCCTGCTTTGAATAGTATATTTTGATGTTTGGGAATACTTTACATAAATCCTTAATATGTCTGAATTTTTTGAAAAATATTTCCAATTTTTTGAATTAAATGATTGTTTTCGGATAGAGATCGGCGCTTAAAAACGGCTCAGGTATCCTTCCGTTCAGTTATCTGAAATTTCGAAAATATAAAAAGTTACAAATAATGTGAAAACGTGCTTGTTCAGCATCAGTAGTTTGAGCACATGTTTTGTACGAAGTCTGTATTTCCATTGCCAACAAAGAAAATAAAAATTTGTTTCCGCCCGGGATCGAACCGGGGACCTTCCGCGTGTTAGGCGGACGTGATAACCGCTACACCACGGAAACCACACCTCTTAATGCTTAAATATCAACCAATAAGAAATACACCTATTCACCACCTTTCAAAAATTGTTTTCATATATTAACAGTTTTTACAAAAAATATTTGGCCTTATCGTACCCGACGTACCGTACGTATCAACTCCGACGTCGTGACATCGGTGACGAAAGTAAAGAACGAATGTCAGGAGCAAAGGCATTCTGTCTCGTAGTTCAAATACAAACGGTGCGTATTAATTAATTACAAAATATTTTGGCATAATATGCGTTAGAAATTAAGCTGTTGACAGACACAAGGATGTTAATCTCGTAAGCTGTAGGCAGAAATGTCATGAAATTGTACACGCAATTTGATGCGTCAACTTGCCTTAACGCCATTTCGCTGGCTAGTCGTTTTTATCGTTCGCCATGATTTCCGGGAAGTAGTTAGATTTCTTCTCGTTCTGTACGTTAAGAGAGAATATCCAAAACGATTTCAGAAAGAAATGTTCTACAAAATCAGAATGTATCGGTGAAACAACCCTTCGTAAATGGATATCGATGCCACAGCAAAACCCTTGTCTACCCACATCTTGTAGAGTATCATGGGAGAGATAAGTGAATTCTTTAATGTCTTTTTGTAGTGGGTGTGAGTTAGTTCACATTCATGGTAGTCCAACATGTATTCATATACATGTTCGTGGTAGTCCCACCGCTGCACTTTGTTACGCAGTTTTGCTGAAAAATTGTTTCCGCCCGAGATCGAATCGGGGACCTTGTGCATGTGTGGCGCTCGTGATGACCGCTACGCTACGGAAACTGCTGCTGGTTCTCTTTTTCCTTGATTTGCTAACCAAATGTGCTTGTGTTGGTTGCAAATGCAAAATACATTCTGTGTCGAAGTGAACTACGGATGTACTGTGAAAATGGATTCATATATAAAGCTTTTCGATTTTAGCAAATTAAACATAAAATAAATTAATAAATTTAATCGTTAAACAAAAAACAAAGTAGAACTTTGTTAAAAAAGTCAACTAAAAAAAACAAGAAAAGAGTCACACCTTAATTCTTGATAAGCTGTCACACCTTAATTCCTTAAAAGCTGGTAGAGGTCATATATGGATATAACAAAATTAAGCACTAAATGAAGTCAATTATGTTATGCATTGAGAATCCTATCAAATTCTGTCAGCCTTCATGCAGCTCGTTCTTGGTCAAGTTGTTGATGAGATTGATGATTGATCAGATGAGAAAATTAATAAACGTGTTTTGTTCAGAAAAACGTACGTACCTTTAAACAAAGATCCTTCATAGATTATCAAAAATAAAGGTATGAAGAAATGAGCCTTCATTTCGGTAGATGCGAAGGCGTGTGGTACTGGTTATTTTGATATCAGTAATATGAATTGAATTATGTACCTTTCGTTTGTATGCAGTTTCTGTTGCATGGGGCGAACATTTCTTCTTGCTAAGTGTCATCAACAACGCTCATGCCACCTTTTATTCATAATTTAAAAGTGTTCGTACAAGAGAGGGAATATGAATTCCGCAGCTCAAGTAAACGTGCAAATATACTACTCATTTTTAAAATCGCTGGCTTGTTTTTTGCAATAATTTTAATTGTATATTCTCTTAGCAATAAATACGGGCTCTAGTTTCTATACATGTTTACTTCTCAGAATACATTACAATTTTCAAAAATATTAACGATTAATTTCACTGTCGTGACCACCTACTGCACGTGATATCCGTAGTAACCTACAGCCGTTGGCACAGTGGACTTTCACACATTTTCACAGTGTATTTTCACAGTGGCTCACCCCGGCACTCTATTTTATGTTCACAGCCGACGATGATTTTGTTTGGCGACCACGATGAAAACTGGGAAGACAATTGCATAATTTAGCGGTTATCACGTGCCCCTCCCAAGCGCAACGTTTCCAGTTCGATCCCAGGCGGAAACACATTTTGAACAGATCTGCAAAACAAAATGCAGCCTATGGACGGAGGGACAGACAGACAAACTGACAGACATTTTGCCTGAAACACATTTTTCGGCATCCAGGACCCACAATCGTAAATTCTGAGTAGACAACGTTTTAGTGAAAGTAATTTACTACAAATATGAATGACATTTAGATTTATTTACATTCAGAATTATTTTCGTCAAAGAAGAGTAAAAACTGTATATGACGCATGAGAGAGACGCAATCTGCACATGTTTTTTGGGTTGCACAGTTTCCTCCCTACCCATTTATTATACATAGCTGAATCTATAGATAAATAAAAGGGGATGTGCGTACGCGTGTCGCACATAGACGCAAAACTACTTAACTTTTTTCGCTGAAATTTTTACTCTTAGTAGTAATGGGAATTTTTAAAGAGTGATTTGAATTAGAACAGACATGTGGGAGTGTTGATGATTTATTCGTTTATGACGATTCATGCTTCCCTTAACTCTCTAGCGAAGTGTAAAACGTGATTAACAATTACGTGAAAAGTAGTGTACGATGCGCAATGGCGAAGCATTGTCCTGACAAGTAGTGATGAATAAAAGGACCAACAAAGCAAGGTTAGCAACATTAAAAAACTAGAAATTTTCGCTCCCATGTTGTAAAAAATTTCAATGGGGAACGAAAATTTCTAAATTTCCAGATGTTTGTAACAGTGTAACTTTGTTGGTACTTTTGTTGATCATTTAACTATGTTTACAGGTTGTGGAAGAAATTCGGAAACTCAATAAAACGTGCGCGAATTGTACTTCTCCTCCATTCGTCACATGGTTTTTCTATCGTTTATAATAAAAAATAATATAAAAATAAAGTTTCAAAGCGTAATAATTATACATGATACACCCAGAATCGGATTGTGTCCTGGCAGGAACAAATTAATACATTTTTACGCCGGGCACATGAAACTCTATCGTGGAAATCTCCCGCCCTCTTCCCCGTCGATTCGCAACCTGGCTTTAGGCGCCTAGTAGCTGTAATGCGGTCCTGCTAGTTGGTCAAGACAACTCTGGACGTAAGCGTTTTGCAATTTCTCCCGTAACGTCGTGGGTGCCTAGCGCTCGCGCCATGCCGCCTCGCGTGCTCTCCTTGACCGTCGGCCGCTGAAGGGCAGGGGAGTGACGTGCCGGCCGTACCGCGCGGCAGCGCGTACAGTGGGCGGAAAGTGCGATGTGTGTGGTCACGTCGGATTTCGTGCCAAGTGCCGAAGTTCGCGCCAAGTGGACGCATTGGATTATATTAATCGAAAAACGGATTGGGACTTATTCGAAAGATATAGGGAGTTGAAAGTTTATTTTTGCCAATTGATGGCAATCTCAAAATAATAATAATAATAATAATAATAATAATAATAATAATAATAATAATAATAATAATAATATAAAGTTTTACAAGAAGGTTATGCAGCTCGTATGATGGCCATTTCCCCACCCAAACCATTGTTTTGGAAATTTTAATCAAAGTATGGAAAACAATGGCTTCATAATAAGCACATAACATTTTAAAGGAAGCCCTAATGGACGGAAGGTCACATTCTAAAAAATTGTATTTTTTTTCTTGTACCAATTCTAGGGAGTGGTTGTACTGAAATGCCTACCTTGAAATATTTTTTTAGATCCATCTTGCCGTTTAGTAATTTCAAACAATATGGATAGTACTGTGATAAAAATAATAGGGAAGAAATGAAAGATTTAATCGAGCAGGACACAGGTGAAAAAAGCATTTTCAGAGGATTGCTCGTCTTTTGATAACGCTACATTGCGGCAAACCTTTCTCTACTCTTATTGACGCGTTATGGAATTCAAATATGGTGGCTAAGTATATTCGTGTTTTTTATTTTTATTTTTTTATTTTTAGGAGAGAATTGAATCCAAGACCAAAGTCTAATTCCGCCACTGTCACTGTTCTATGCCCGCTCATGTTACCATGTAGGCATAATCCTGACAATTATGCACAAAGTCACCTATTCCATATCTGAAATAGGCCACTATGTCCAAAAGTTCAGATTCACAATTCGTTTAGAGAGAAAATAATGCACACTTGGGAAGTCGAGCTCGGTCATATTTGAAGTATTTCATACTTCTCCGACGCTTATTCCTTCAAGTGTTGGTCCCTCAAACCTTCCAAACACATCTTTAGAACGGAAAATGTGCTTTATAACAAGATATTTGACTTAGTGATGTTTGAGGAGATTTTTTATATTTTCAAAAAGAGAAGACGTTTTAAATCTGACGAACTTCCTCCACTTTATTAATGTATATCTCAGAAATTTGTTAAAAAGAAGTACACTAATTGTATTATTAATGTTTGGAAAAGTATCAGAAAACTGGAATGGATTTAGATAATTAGTTTACGAAACATGACCGTAATACATTTTTGCGCAAAAAATTACGCGGTCAGCGTATCGTAGGTATGCTATTGATGAAAGTGACCAATTTTCTGCATAACAATATTTTTTTCAGGTTCTGCACTAAATATTGTTATGAGCATAAAATATGTAAGACAATTTTTATCACAACAGTCGCCCCTTCGCACCTAAGATTTCTGTTAAGATCACTGTTAAGCCGTACCTCAACATTGTCATGTAAGACAACATTCTTATATAATCAAGATGTAAATCTATGTTTAAAATCCCTATTTCAAAATTGTATATCGCAATGAAATAATGTCTCCATAATAATGTTTGATAATAGGCCATGCTGCCGGAGACATGTTTTCACAAGAACTTATTTCACCGATTTCGTTTGTGATCAGCAATTCAATATTTTTTTGTTTTTCATTTTCGAGCATACAAAGCATAACATTTTCTCTTTTTGTTTAAGTAATATCGTTATCTGCGTGTATTATCTCTCAAAATGGTGTCCCAGAATTTGGGTTTCATCGAAAAATGAAAAGGGGATCTGAAATAACGCAAAATGTAAATGGAGTAAAAATCTTAACTGAGTAAATACCTTCAAATTAAAAGAATAAATTACACATAATTCATTATATATACATATATAGCTTAACACGTAGCCAACAACAATAATATACAATACGTAGCACAACGTGTCCAGTGCATTAAGGGCATGAGTCCCACTTGGAAATGCGGTATGTTTTTATGCTTCAAAATGAATACGCTGTTGTTGCTATTGTTATTATTATTATTATTATTATTATTATTATTATTAAAAATTGACACATTGAAAGTAACGTGTTATGAAAGTAGTCAATTAAAATAAAAAAACATTTCTTCATGTTTTAAAACTGCTCCCCCTTTGAGTATTTTGGTTAGCCGCCCTTGCCCCATAGTGCTGTAGGGCGGGTGCGCGCAGATCGGCCTCGCGTCCACTGCGGGCGCTGGCCACCGCGGCGAGGCGTTGCGCTGCCAAGCCCGGGCGCGGCGCGGCGCGACGCGGCTGTCCTGGGGGCGGCGGCCGATTCCTTATTTTTGACCTACAGGGCTCACCGGCTGGCGTGGTGCCCGATCTACAAGGCGGCGTCCACCACCTGGCTCTACCACTTGTGCGTGCTGAACGGACTGGCCGAGCGCGACCTGGCCGCCTCCAAGAAGCAGCTGAGCGAACTCGCGCGCTCCGTGCTGCCCGAGCTCGACTTTCTCGAGGCGGAGGAGGTAGGACGCGCGCGCCGCCCGCCCGACTCGGGGCGGTGGGGCGATGGGGGGACGCGCCCGAGGATGGTGAGGCGATGGGACGACGGGCCGTGGCAGATGGGGCGATGAAGAGACTGGGCGGTGGAGCGATCGGGGGCGGGGCGATCGCCAGTGGGGCGATGAAGTGAGCCCACGGGGCGATAGGACGACGGAACGACGGTGGTGGGGACGAGGGGGCAATGGGGACGAGGCGACGGGGCATCAGAGGATAGGACGATGTAGCGCGGTGATGGCGCTATGAGGCAGGGGGACATAAGGCGAGTGGTGTTAGGGCGATGGCATTGGAGTGTGTCATTCGCTGACGCGTTTCCTCACATCGTCCAGTTCAAACAATCTCCATCTCATTGTGTCACTCCCAGTGACATAGCGAATCCTCGAGGCTGAACACATCTAGTGACGTAGGGAAGGTAAAGTGGCGTGGGTCAACACGCTGAATAGACGAACCACATGGGTTCGTAAAACAAACGTCGAAGCACCTGCTGCCAATTGATCACCGCAACGTTCAGCTTGTTGCCTTTGCCTTTGTCGGCCCTAGGTGACTTTTCTCCTTTGTTTACAGCTTCCTCCCCTTTACTTTAAGGGGATATGGAATGCCCCATCTTGGCAATGTCAAATGTTTTAGCCTAAATCTCAGAATCTATTGAAGTTAGGCTTATGAAATTTTTACAGGTTGTTGACATGTCACTTATAATAACACTGGAATAACGGCTTCATTTTGGCTCCGGCAGAGAATCGCACCCAGGACCGCCCAAAGAAAGGTAGTTGTCCATAGTCACCCGATGATGATGATGATGATGATAATAATAATAATAATAATAATAGGAATAATAATAATAATAATAAATAGTAATAATAATAATAAATAGTAATAATAATAATAAATAGTAATAATAATAAAGGCAGTAAGAATTGCTATAATTATACCAATATTGTGTTAAACTGATTAATGATGTGTTCCCTTTTGCAACAAGATGATATGACCTAGGTCGACCTCATCCCCCCTTGATTTCGCGCCTGCCAGAGCCCCCGCCAGCAAATTCTCCACCCGCCAGCGAGGCTGGCGTGAGCCTGCGCCCGCGCGCGCCGCGGCTGTCGCGACGTCTCGGCCGCTCGCCCACGTGCGTTGGCACAGGCGCGTTCCTCCGCCGCCCGCCTCTAATCAAACAAGCATCCGCTCTCCGCCCGCTCCCCGGTTATTCTGATCGCGGCCGCATTAAGACGCTCTGAAGCGCCGAAGATCTGCGGTGCAGACAAGCGGTTGACGCGGACGAATGGACGAGCGGAGCACACGTCCCGCCTAAATGGAGGCGCACACCTGTTACATGTTGCTAGGGATTTAGATTTCCATTTATTTAGTCGAAAAACTCTATGTGACGTATGGGGGAGAAGGTCATCAGCCCACATTTTCTTGAGTTCCAGTATCCCTTCCCGTCATTTTAACTATGAATGGTTGGAAGATGAGAAAGGGTTAAAGATAAATAAATATTTTTTTAATTAAAAAAGCGCGAGATTAGCATCATTTGAAAAACTAGACATTTTCGTTCCCGAGAAATATGTTATAGATATAAGACCCGTTATAGAAAACGTATTTCCAACGGTAAACGAACTACAGATTTGATTTTTCTGCATTGCTAACAAAATAGTAACTTTCTGGTAGTGAGCTGTTGATACTGGCACTTAATGAATGTGATTTCTTCGACGTGTGTTGTAATTATATATATCAGTATTGCATGAAAAATATCCCCACCGTTTAGTAAGTCAGTTTTGACAAATATTACAGATTCGTTAATAAATAGGCAAGGCAACGGTAAGATTCCAAGCTCAATGAAGATAGGCTTGCAGGGATGGCATTTTTTATTATTCGAATAATTTTCTTTTGCAATCTAAAGGTACTACATGATGAGCGTTCCCAGAATATTAGGCCATATCTTAGGCGGGAATGCGCGTTTGCAAAATACACGCAACGAACTGCATGAAGGCTGACAGAATTTTAATGTGTAACATAATGAACTTAATTTTGTATTTAATTCTGTTATATGTACATTCGATGTGAGGTTTGACTGAATTGAGAAACCTAGAAATTTTGTCAACGTTAACATCAGCTAATTGGATATTGTTCATTTTCGGGGTAATGGTAAGATTCCAGGCTCAATAATGGAACGGATTTTTATGTCTCGTCCTTTCCACCCAGCGGAAGAAAATGACTAACCACGAGCATGATCGTCTGCCTGGAAATAGGAAGGACATAAAAGTTGGTTGGTTGTTAGCGATTTCTTCAGCTACTGAGAGCATTAGTCCTGTAAGTGTAGAGCATATTTGTTTCTCGGGAGGTGGCGAGATCCGGCACCTACGTACCGTCGGCTAGCGGGTTTTTCCCTACCCAGGCATCTTCCACCAGCGGGGCACCTCTCCAGCCTGAACAAGCTCTAAGCTCCCGACCGGGCTCTCGGCATGTTGGTAGTGTAGTAGTGTAGTGCACGTTAGTGTGTGTGTAAGGGGTGAGGATAGCACAATAAAAAGAAGGAAAGATAGCATCCGGTTCGTAGCCACATCTTCATTATGAGCATCATCATGTTTCTTCACTCACCATTATTAATCATCGGATCTGATGATCTTCTCCCCCAAACGTCACATACAGTTTTGACTTTTTTTTTTGACTAAATCAATGTAACCTCAATCAAATCTTTTAAAATTATATTAACAAGATAATTATATTTTTGATGACAATAAAGTTGTTTTTAATGGAGATGTAAATGTATATTTTTTCATTTTAATGTATAGCATATGCATCAAAAGTCACTATTTAATGACACAAATGCGACATTTTCAATGAACGATCATTTTATAATGGCTATAAAGAGATGGTTTAGGCGCAATACTTTTAAGGATATTTTAAATATACCTACACTATCTTGTGAATATATTCATTCATTTAATGTGAAGAATCAGCTAAACATTGTGTTTGACGTACTATGGGGAAAATGCAAGCAGTGCACGTGTTCTTGAAATCTGAAATCCCTATCCTAGAGCTCAAGAAATCGTGCATAGATTGCAGTTTTTACCCAGAGTATGTCACACACAATCTTCGTACGTACGTCTTTGAACGGATTTTCAGAAGAATTTAAAAATGCATCTACGTTCTTGAAATCATTGAGTAGACATTAATCATTTGTCGGGTAGCAGTGTAAGCCTCGAACTCTGTGTGTAAAATGTACAGTTTAAATTCGTTATAACAGGGCCGGCCTTGAGTAACATAAATTAAAACCACTGGCTCAATTTCAAAGATAGGCTACCAAGTTCCGAGAATTCCGTACATTTTACCAGTGATAGTTGCGTAATTAATTCTTCATCGCGATACATTTTAAACTACCTTTGTGATGAGTTCTTGCGGCGTCACCGGAAATTACATAACCTGACTTAACCCAACACGACAATTTGTAAAATTTTATATTTTACAAATGCAATCAAATATTATAAACGAGGATACAGATATTCGTCCCTGAAATACTTCAAAACGTTGAATGATCTCTAAATTTTCAGAAATGTTCGGCTTTAGATTTTACAAATGATGAAGGATCATGATAGAAAAGTTTGTTTTTATTATTTTTTTTTATTTAAGGTCGCATCAACTACTAGGTCATTAGCGACCACTATTGATTGTAACGGTATGGTAACTGTGGGTTTACACGATAATGATGATGATAGGGAGTGAAAGGACGAAACACAATACAACCATGCCCGAGGCGGGACTCGAACCCGCGATCCTTCGGTCCGAGTTCGCTACGGCACTACTGCCTTAGCGATCTCGGCCACCGGATCGGCGATAGAAAAGTTGTTTCGTTACAATTACGATTAATTGATTATTTTGTGATTCCGGTCGCGTAAATTAGTATAGTATAGTAATTACTCCTGTAGGTGTAGGTACAGGACTATAGTACTTAGTCCTGTAGGTGTTGTGCATGTTATATCTCGGAAGATGGCGGTGTTCGTTCCCTTCTGGAACGTGACCGGCGCCGACCTAAAAGTGGGTGTGTGGGGTTCCCCCCACACGGTATCTCCGCTAACGAAGCACCGCCTAAGCCGGGACCAGCTCTAAGCTCCCGACATGTCTGGTAGCGTAGTGCACGTAAGTGTAAGTGTAAGTGTGTGCTTGTAAGAAGAGAGGAGACAAGCAAGGGGAAGAAAGGTCGTGCGTGCTACGTGGCCCGTTTGTTAAGGTTCTGCTTCGGCGTTCGAGTGGTATTGATCGGAGAAACCACGAAAATCTACCGATGTCAGGAGCGGGCTGCTAGAATTCTCCTCCAGACAGAGGCACAATTCGACCTTGCTAATAACGAAAATGGTCGCCGTCGAGTCGAGAATCCTCGGACCTCCCCATCAGAGACGTTGTGTTAATAATTGTTACCATGGACTCTCTCAGCTGTTTTCCACTACGTAGTCGGTATAGAGTTATTGACCAGGAAGTTTTAAACTTTTATTAGGAAACCTGCGTGTATTCAACTGCCGATCGTGTAATGTAATATAAAATTACATTTCCGTAACGCATTGTGCCGAAGACCTAACATTAAGAACCATCGGAGTCAAAGGACAACCGACATTGGGTCAGGGACAGAATAATGTTAAGCGAAGACTTTTTGAATATTGAATTCTCATACATGAATTACAAAATGTACCGAAGAGATAGGAAACTAGGGGTGGGAAAGTTCTTTTTAGCGTAAATATAACATGTGTTATAGATAATAATTTTGACATGCTAGGTTTGGAGAGTTATGTGCTGAGAAGTGGAAATTGCATGCGAACGACCACCGAACGGCATTTATGACAGTTTGGAAGCGATCAGCCACAGGCCAGAGGGAAATGGGAAGGCACGGTCGTTCTGTTTTTATCACTGGTAGTCTCAGTCTTTGCGATGTTAGCTGAACGGAAAGGAGCGTTATGGTAACTTAAAGGTTCTTCACTTATTCAATAAGTTGGTGTGGGATTATCCCAGTTTGAACGACACGGCAGAACGTGGCGTTATACGTTTTCCTTGTTAACTCAGAAGAAATGTACTTTTCGTACGACGTGCTTGAAGACATCAGCACGCACACGTCTGTCCCCTTAGTGTTATGAGTAGACTTAAAAATATAAGAGGGAACGTGTAACAAAGAATATGGCAATACAGGAAAACAGATGTTGAAGTGGTTTATGGGTACTTAAGGG